ATTCTGGGCTGTGTACTATTCGCTGGATTACAACTGGGTTTTTGGGAAGGTTATGTGTAAGCTGTGTGGAGGTCTGGTAACGATAAACGTCTACGCTAGTATATTTTTCATCACCTGTATGAGTGTTGATCGATATCACGCCATCGTCTACCCACTGCACTCTCAGAGCAGTAGGAGCATAAATCAGGCCAGATGTGTTAGCGGCATCATTTGGGTTGTGGCGGCTTTGACAACTTTGCCAACAGTTGTGTTCCGTGACATACACATTATTTCCAGTAACAATGTTACGGCTTGTGTAATTTATTTCCCCAGTTCCTACTGGCAAACCGGGTTAACTCTTGCGAAGAACACCCTCGGATTCTTCCTGCCATTTGTCGTCATTGCGACCTGCTACAGCCGAATCGCGGTGCACCTTCTGGCCACCCCAAACTACCTGGAGCAAGACTATACCCGACTGGTCCATGTGTTGCGTTTGGTGGTCGCCGTGGTGTTGGCGTTTTTCTTTTGCTGGTTCCCATTCCACGTGCTGGCGTTCCTCGGAGCTCTGGGAGAGCTGGGTGTGGAGTGGGATTGCTGGGTGCTTCAGGCGATCCATAAACTCCTGCCGTTCTTCCTCTGCCTCGGCTTTTCCAACTGTGCCATAAACCCTTTCCTGTACTGTTTTGTGGGAAATCACTTCAGAGAGAAGCTGTGGCAGTTTTACGGGGATATGTTGACGCAGAAAAGAGATTCTATCAGCACAAGACTGTCTTCCTTCTCCAGGAAACTGAGTGACCTTAAAGAAACTGTGCCTATGGAGATTCTTGAGCAGCAGAGCAGCCCGTAGTGGAATCTAGTGAAGCTATAACCTTTAAATACTGTTATTACAACTGCAGAGGACACCGTGTCAGTGTCAGTCAAGTGCTTTTCCATGGACTGCCGCTTGTTTAGGATGATCAGTTCAGATGTTGTTGTTGGTTGCTATAATTGTGTTTGTTTCACTGTGTCTTTTACTGTGCCTTATTTCAAATTACACAGTGGTTGTGATTAGCACCATCTATAAACAAACATTTGGTTACATAACAATGTGTAGAAATATAGCCCACATATTCTTTGATCAGAATTTATCCAGGATGAGGAATTTGCAGTTTTTTTCTGCACAAATCATAGATAAAAATAAAAAAATAAATAAAAGAAAAGAAAGAAAGAAAGAAATAAAGGTTGAGTACAGCTGTTAAGCATGTCTTTCATATAGCTGATACCTGCTAGACAGACTAAAACTCTTTAAGCTGTAATATAAAAAGTCACAGTAATATAAAATGTTGTTAAAATGATAAATCATTGTAAATTGAATTATAATTCTGTTATAATGGAACAGCATCAATAAATGGTGTTTGCAAGTGAACAATTTTACTGTTTTGTATGTGATTATCCATCCATCCGTCCGTCCGTCTGTCTGTCTGTCTGTCTGTCTGTCTGACTGTCTGTCTGTCTGTCTGTCTGTCTGTCTCTCGTCCGTCCGTCCGTCCGTCCGTCTGTCTGTCTGTCTGACTGTCTGTCTGTCCGTCCGTCCGTCCATCTGTGTCTGTCTGTCTGTCTGTCATCCATCCATCCATCCATCCGTCCGTCCGTCCGTCCGTCTGTCTGTCTCTCTGCCATCCGTCCGTCCGTCTGTCCGTCCGTCCGTCTGTCCGTCTGTCTGTCTGTCTGTCTGTCATCCATCCGTCCGTCCATCCATCCGTTTGTCTGTCTGTCATCCATGCGTCCGTCTGTCTGTCTGTCTGTCTGTCATCCATCCATCCGTCTGTTCGTCCGTCTGTCTGTCTGTCTGTCATCCATCCATCCATCCGTCTGTCTGTCTGTCATCCATCCATCCATCCATCCGTCTGTCTGTCTATCATCCATCCGTCCGTCCGTCTGTCTGTCTGTCTGTCTGTCTGTCATCCATCCTGTCTGTCTATGTATCATCTGTCTATCTGTAATCATGACGAGAATAAGACTGTCAGCTTAAACTTTGCATTATCATGATTATTAACATTATAATGACAGCCGTTATTTGAATTTTCATTTGGCTTTGTTTAGGCATGCTGTCTTGATAGCCTTCATTACAGATCTTAAGAGTAGATCTTTGAGCTAGCGTACACTAGAACAGATGTAGATCAACACCTTTCAAGCCATGTAGGGTCATCTAAAACACTCTGAACACCAACGGGAGTAATGAACATACTTTTTCAACAACAGTTCTTCTTCAGTTCTTCCAGGGATCTGGAATAACCTGCTTAGCGCCTAGAAGGATTCCTTCTGTCTCTGAGAGTTTCAGCAAAAGTTTAGTAGTGTAGTACATATTTCTCATGTTTTACTTAATTAGTTGAGTTTTCTAAGGTCCGCCATTACCTGTAGGCAGGGTTGCTGCACATATTCTCTGTAATGTCTTTTTCTCACGTTCCTTTTTGCATTTCAAGGAATCCCGTTGTTGTCTTTATTTAAATGCTTATCATTTGCTCCAGTGATTCAAGTTCTTCCCTAAACCTCCGTTCGAAGAAATTCTCATCAATGTTTTCATCTGTTAATTATTATTTTAAATTAATTTTCTTTATAAAGACAAGATCAATATTTTGGACTTTTTCAGTAGATTAAGCATACACGGGAGGATATTTTCAGACTGATGAAAAATGTTGATAGGTAAAAGAGAAGCCAGTTTGGTTGTTGAATAATAGTTAAGAATCTGGTCCGTTGATGCAAAGGTTTCAGGTTCATATCATAATAAAGATTTACTGAGATAACAGTTCCATCACCATGTGCTCTACAGCAGAACTGGTTATCTTCACACAGACCTACTATTAGTGCACTTAAAAATTCCTTTCAAAGACAACTGCTGCATGACAGTAAGAAATTTCATAAGTTGTGGCTCACTACACCCCCTAGAGCAGTGGTTCTCAACTCTAGTCATGGGGACCCACATTTTGTATGTCTTCCTTATTTAACCCTCATCCGTCCCTCGGGTCATTTTGACCCAAAACTCATTTTTAAAGATTTTTTAAAAATCAAGCGTTAATCGTTATGTTATGAGACTTTTTTACTTTTGTCACACACACACACACACATATGAACTTAGACATTATTATCTACATCAAGGAAACAAATTCAAAGTTGTGGGAAGGTGAGTTATGTTTAGTTGTTTTGTGTGTGTCTTTTGTACCTGGGGTGGCAGGTATGCATGAGATGTGTGTTTTATGCGTGTGTCTGTGTTCATATGTAGTGGTTGCAGTCTGGCCAGTTTTAAATCACTCTCACAGACTAAACTGCACAGATTTCCACATACAGGTAAGAATCTCTATTGCTTTATAGTGCACACATGCTATAGCAGAAAAATGCACTGGCCATTTTGTAAATGTCCTCCTCATAGACATAGTGAAACTATATAAACTGTGTCTAAAACCAACCTGAAATGCTCCTTGTGAAAATGGTTGCATATATGAGAGATCCTCGCTGATAAAACTCTTAAGATCTGGTTGTTGAACTCATCTGTGTGTTCAAGTTTTCGTCTGAGTGGGTTTGGATTATGTAGTAGGTAGGGGTTCTTCCTCTAACTGTGATCAATGACATTTTAACAAAACAAGTAATGAAGATGATTTCACTATTCTGGGAAGTGTTGAGGACATCCTGCCATTATGTTTTAGACTTACCCGATACATGTGTGATGTAATGCTTTTTGATCCTGGGATGTTTTAGGAGGAGGACATGGCTTTTATAAATGTACTAGCTAATTTTGTGAAAGACAAAACTGAAAATGTCATCACTATAGTCAAACACTGACATTTGAAGTGCAGTACTATTTAAAAGGTTCATAAATAGGCCAAATTTAGTCTGGTTTTAAATCTAATAATGTCAGCAGATTTGTAAGAGTGTTAGGTTTAGGGACAAAGTAAACATAATTATCTTACTTGTGTACCTTGGTACAGGCATGTGTAATGGTACTTCAGTTTTCATCTGTCTGTCCAAATATACATGAGATAACTGATTGTTTATTGAGCATCACCACTGTCTTTTGGAGCATGCAAACAATGCAGAGGTCAAAGACATTCATTTTGATATTGCACAAATCGGACTGGTACGATTTCAGTCTTGCTAAAGCATTTCCATGACATTTAATAAGACAAACTATTGTTTTAGTCTGACTGAAATCAAACTCTTACAACGCATGTAAGTGCATTATTCATAGAAACGGAAAAGTATCTGTAAACAGAACAGATCCCTTCAGACTCCTGGCACTAAAATTCAAACAGAATTTCCCAATTTCCCAAACAAAATTCCCAATGAGGGAAATGTGGGAATATATAGCTCCATATCACTGTGATATCATAAAATTAGTGCTATCGTACATAATAAAGCATGTGCAATAGAAAACCTAAGCATTCCACAAACCCAGCACATATATACAAACACACACAAGATCTTACAGACAGTTTACTCATCACTCTTGTGTTTGTGTTGCTGTTTTATGACCTGTTCTTCCTCTTTGCCATTGTCCTGAATGTCTTCCGGCTCATTTATTTTTAGCTATTTACTTCTTCACCACTTAAGTGTTTGACACATTACTATGTCAAGTGCAATTCCAAACAATAAAAAAACTTCACAACATATTTTACTGTGTGACAGCACCGGAGTTTCTGTTCTGGATGGCACGCTAGATAACACATACATACTGAGAAAAAAATGTGGCCGTGCTGCATTTTTGTACAGTATGTGCATGCATCTTTTGGGAGTACAGGAGCCTGTTTGTGCCAGTCTAAACCTGTTCTGAGATTAGATCAAATCTTTAATAATGTTGACCAGCTGGCTCCAAAAAATGAGCAGATCAAACAATATGATGTACCTATGGTATAGATAACAACAGAAGGAGAGATAGAAAAACTGAAGCAGATTTCAAATTTCATGTATGTAGGCCTGACTGAAGAAGAGGATCTTGCCATGTCCAGTGGTAAAACATGCACAAACACACACACAAAATATACATTTGTTAACAAAATACACTATAACAGATCATTTTCTATGATTGTAGATGTTAACAGGCAGGCTGTATTCCAAGCGCTAAAAGTTCGAACCCATTTGAAACAAGATGGAAGCTGGATCAACAGGTCTCAAGATGTTCAGGACACACAGTCAGATGTAAAAGCACGGTAAATGCAGGTTTTCGCTGTCATCTGCTGGCTGAGAGTGGTAGCATCAACTAGCCAAAGGTCTTTCTCATGTTTGCTTGAGCACTGAAATTGATCAGTGTGAACATCGCTGTCTCTGTCTCTCTCACTCTCACTTTATCTCATTTTTTTCTGTTTACTCTCCACAGGAAACCAGTAAAGCTAGTAAAGCCTAAGAATGTGTCATCGCCTGAGAGCAGTTCGGTCTCTTCCTCCATCATGCCATGTGCACAGAGTGCCACCATCTCCTCCAGCCTGGACTCGTCCACACCTCCTCAAAGCTCTGATGTTATGTCAGCCTTAAGGAAGTTTGAGTGAGAGCTGTTCTTATTTTCCTTGTGTGTGATTCCTGTATTCAATGTTTCTGCATTCAGTATGTTTCCATTTAATAACTTCAGCCATCTGTTCTCCCTTAGGCCCCTGAACTCAACAGAAAACACACCAGTCAGGAGTGGGTCCAAACTGGCGAAAAGGTTTAGTACACCTCTCTGTACTGAATAGAGGCTTTTACTCTTTAATTTCCTTAAATGCAAGTTAGAACAGCTGAAGCAGAAATCATTAAAAGTTCACTCTTAATTTCTAACAATACTGAACTGCTATATCAACAATTATTCTGAATGTGTTCCAGTGTACATCCTGTCCTTGAGGACTTCAGGAGAGCACATGTAGAGGATGAAGCGGAGACATCCATAGTCAAACCTGCAGAGCAACCATTAAAGACACCTGCAGATATTCCTAAAACAGATGTAGTGAAGAAACCAATAGAAAAACTTGTAGGAACCATTGAAGACTAACAAAATATATATTGTGTGTTTGATTGGTCCAGATGCTACACACATACAGACACTCCTAAAACGGACGTAGTGGAGAAACCTATAGAAATACCTGGAACCATTGAAGACACATTCAGACACTCCTAAAATGGACATAGTGGCGATACCTATAGAAATACCTGTAGAGGAACCATTGAAGACACATGCAGACACTCCTAAAATGGACATAGTGGAGAAATCTATAGAAATACCTGTAGAGGAACCATTGAAGACACCTACAGATCTTCCTGTAAAGAACATAGTGGTGAAACCCGCAGAAGAATCACTGAAGACACATACAGAGACTCCTGTAGAGGAAACAGGGAATACACTGGTAGATGGAGCTTCAATAGATCAAACACAATCTAGTGGAGCGCTGCAGGAGAAAACAGTCAAAACTCTACATGAGAACCCAGCAAAGCCTTCAGGTACACTGCCTACAGAGAATAAAGAAGACAATCCAATTGAACAAGTCACAGTAGCACAAGCCCCTATAGTAGAGGCTCCACTCGAACCCAGAGAAGCAGAAAACCAGCCTACAAGTGATCATGGGGAACTTTCACTAGTATCTGCTCTGGAAACTCCAACAACAGAGTCATCAACTAGAGCAACGACAGAACTGACCGAAGAACCCCCGATGGCAGCCCTGGAAGAGCACCACAGACTGAACAGTGAAGCCGAATTGAAGTAAGTCATTTATAAGACATCTTCATTGAGATATGATGTCTGTGGACTTTGTTTGAGTAGATGTTATAATATTTTGTTTTAATTTATTTCTAAAGCAATATCATTAAAAATAGGTGATTTAAAGAATCCACAAAATATTAACACAGTAAGTTTATTAGCATAAATCAGTTCTTATGTAAACACACAGAAACATCAACATGTAAAATTAAGTGTGACCTGTCTGTTTTACTAAATACCTGCATTTATTTTTTACAATAAAGTTAACAGGTATTAGAATTTAATACAATTTCATTCTTCATAAGATGGGTGTGTATCTGTGTATGTTTCCCTTTGCAGTGTGAAAGGTAAAACCATGTGTTCCTTCTGCAAGCTGCCCTTAGATGAAAATGTGAAAATCTCCGTCAACATTCCTGACATTTGCTGCCGTCCGGATTGTTTCAAGGTTTACTTTTTTTAACTCTTTTCCCTCAGTACTCAGCTTCAGATGTCAGTATCTCACCCTTCCCCCAAATTGTTTTTATCTGAGTCTTGTCTGTATATTTCCATCTGGTTTTAAGGTTTTGGTGATCCAATCACAGGTGGTCAGTACAGGTGTAAACAAGGTCAAAAACGTTTTGGGATGGGATCACTGAAACCTACAGAAGCCCTGAGGCATTCATTACTATTATTTTTTTCCTTTTTGTTTTCTCTTGATCGCAGCTTAAAGGGATACTTTTTAAAGGGATACTAGGGACAATTTTGTCATTTGCCCACCCTCAGTTCGTTTCAAACCTGTATGAGTTCCTTTCTTCTGTTAAACACAAAAGAAGATATGTTGAAGAATGTTGTTAACCAAACCGGTTGATGTTAGTATGGAAGTTCGAATGAAATAAATGATTAATCAAATATAATCTGCTGATTTTTTTCAGAGACAGGTTCTGTTGTAATCTAAATATTTTGTTTGTGTATTTAACCTTTTTAAATGGTATAGAGGAAAATCTCAGAAAGACATAGCAGATGAAAACAATAGCCTATGCTTGGAACTTATGGATCTAGTCCCAAGATGGCCAATGGCAGTGAATTTGTTTTTGAAATGTTTTATGGCCTTGAAACTTTTTTTCATTGTTTATTTTCTTTGGGAATTAAGATGTGCTGCAATGTGATCAGTAAAGCTCTCTCTCTCTGTGTGTGTGTGTTTTAGTGTAAGGGTTGCAGGAGTCCTCTGGGTGATCTCTCTTCATCTATGTACCACTATGCTGAGAAAATCCTCTGTGAGAAATGCTTTGATCAAATCTTCCAGCTCTGATGACTCATCGCCACAGCAACCTACTCCACTACAAATTATCACCATGACAGCTAAGCACATCTCAGAGTCTACTACTAAGTTTGCACTAATTAAACAAAAATATTTATCAGTAGAAGAACTGCTGTCATCGGTTTAGAGCACATATATATTCCTCACTATTTTTCTGTAAATGATTATATAATTATTTCTCTCTTTCTGATCAATATATTTCTCGTTGTCTTCTAACAATTCATCATTTAAACGGTATTTTTTTAAAACGTCCTATAAGCTTGAGTTATCCTGTTTACGTGTCTGTTGCTGTGAGAAGAACTGACAACACTGATGGTCAGCTTTCATTAATGGAAATTAAAGTTTATTGCATGAGTTTCAATAAAGTTAACACAATTATTTGTAAACTCACTTTAGTCTGAATTCTGCACAAGTTTTATTCATCATTTACAGTTATCCATCTTACTGTAGAAATAATATTTAGTTTTCTGAAGTGAGCCAGTAAGTTAACAATAAAAAACAAACAAACAGTTCCTTTGATCGAGCACCATCATTGATCAGGTTCAGCTTATTGCCACAGTTAGTCAAAATATACAACAAATACACCCACAAACATAAAATCAGACACAGGAGGTGACACTGACAGTAAGAGTGTCTGTAAATACTGAATTCAAATTGACCCGAAGAAAGCTGCTCACTACAGCGCTGTTTCATTATGTGTGTCACGCAGAATAACAACCCACATCTGACTGAGGAAACAACACACAAACTCTCTCAAAAAGATGGAAAGTGTGTGTGAGAGAGGCTAAAATCCTGGCAAACTGCAAGGCATTAATAAGACCATGAAGCACAATGAATACAATCAATAAAATGAATAAATGGCCATGAGAGAAAGGAGAGAGCAATATAATAATGTGTGTGTGGCGAAGACACAGAGAGAGGAGACAAATTAAGAAATATAGAAGCTAAATTCCACTCCTCCAGAGATCTACAGTACAGCAGTTTGTGGTTTTACATGTAGTGCTTTAATCAAAGATTTTTTTTATTTTTTTTTTGGTCAGTCTTCCTTAGTGTAGTTTGTACTAATCTGTCTCATGAAACCAGTAGCTCATGTGTGTTTGTGCTCTGTATGACAGAACTCTGCAGAGGCTTCATGGAGCTCTTTTGCGTTTCCTCTCCGGTCACAGTGATGACCACTGAAACTGCTGCCACAGGCAACAGGAAAGTGGGCCTAGCAACACCAAACCTAGCAACGGATTCCCTTTCTTCCGAGAAACCTTAGAACAGCGTAGTTGTAGGTGGTGGCAACCACATAAATGAACTAGAAAAAAAGAAGGAAGAAACAACATATCTGATGTGTTCCTCTGCAAAAGGTTTTTTTAAACAGGAGAAATTTGAGCTCTTGTGACATTAATGTTTATATCCCTTTGAGACTCACTATAAACATCAGGCAAGGAATGCAATTCCAACAATAGCACATCATTATTTATTTACAATCTTGTCCATAGCAGCGTATATTTTAGAGAAACAATCCCCCTTGGGCAACTGGGGCTTAAGTTCTAGTATAGTATAGTTGAAAAAATCAGGACTGGATTCTTTAAAAAGGTTGTGTACATTTATTAATGCAGTTATTATTTCCTACCATCTGGCATAGCACGAGCACATTTCCTACTTATTTACGGTTTTACGTGTTTGTATCAATCTCATTGTGCTCCTCAGTATGACAGAGAAGCTCTGGTTGCTCCTAGTGGTTGTCTTTAGATAAAGCCTGAGAAATGACTGCTGCCAAATATACAGGAAAAGGGAGTAGAGACGCTGGGGATCTGTCAGTAGTAGAGAGGTCAGTTACTGATTTTAAGCTAAACATTCCCCTGCTGTTCTTCCGTTATTAACTTCATGCTGTTTGACAGCTCTGCACTCTGACCTCAAAGAATTCAGTGCAAATAAAATCCCAGTGAATTTCAAAGTTTGCCAATAGGCATATAAATAAATATAAATGAATGTGTAAATATAATAATCAATTTACAATTACAGATGAATATGTAAATTAGCTTTTCAGTGCTTGTCAAGATCACTGTCACTTGTGATTTTTAAAATTTCATAAAGATTGCTGAGGTGGATTAGCTAATTAATAATTGATGCTTTCCAGAACACAAAGCAACGAGCCTCTTGAAGGAGCTCACTATAACCTTGCACAAAATCTTCCACAACTATAAATGACTTTTAAAATTCACATGTGTAAAATATTAGATCACTAACCAGGGCAAGAAGGGTGATTCCTGCTCCAGCAAATGCACAGATATAAAGGTCATAGGTCACGTAGAACTGGAAACATAAAAAGGGATATAAGTGATATGATTTCTTGAAACTCTAAGTGTGTGTGTGTCCAGGATTATAAACATCTAACCTCTGGTGTTTTGCAGATGTTTGCCAGTGTGTTTCCACAAACAATCCCTGGCACAGCATTCCAGGGAAGAAACCCTATTTAGAACAACCCAGACATCATGATTATGAACACACACACGCTAATGTACAGATGAACACACACATGCATATGTACAGAAATGCGGGCGCAGACGTACCATACATCCGTGCATCCATACAGACTCTTGCTTGCTGGTTGAACAAGGTGGTTTCTGACAGAATGTTGACTTTGTGACAGGAGCTTTCCATATTAATGAAGAAGAGCACAGGAATGGCCGTGAAGCCAAAGACAACTAGCCAGATCACAGCGAGCACATACGTCAGGATTATAAACTGGACAAGAGAAACAGCTAATCAGATCAGTGCAACATAACAGGCATGGACATGCAAACTATGTAAGAAAGTAAGTAAAAATTGATTTATATGGCACCTTAACAGTGTTTTAACTGCTTTACAGAAGACATATTCATATATGGTCATAAATGTTCACATACATAAATAGATATGGAAGGAGATACAAAAAACTGACTTTACAAAATAGCTGACTAAACCACCTGCTCACAGGTTATCTGAGAGTAGGCACAACCAAGCAAGTTGCAGTCGGATGATCTGAATGATCTAGCTGGAGTATATTTAAGAATTACCACACTTTGCGAATTATGATTTGTTTCCCCTTACTTTTCCAATCATTTGTAATGATAGGATAAGTAGCTTCAAAATCATTTTATAGAGATCACATTTACAGAGAGTCATTTCATGCTGCATTAATACTTTAGAACGGCATAACTGAAAAAGCATATTGTCTACTGAACTTCCCATAGCTTTTCCATTACTTTTTAAGGTTTTCATATTTTTTAATAATTATTATCAATTAATGTTATATTAAAGCTGCAGTCCGTAACTTTTTTGTGTTCAAAATTGACCAAATTTATATAATAAGCTAGTACACCATGAATCCATTTTCCAAACCGTGTTTTTGGCTTGCCCTGAATCACTACGGTACACCTATAAAAAGTGTTTATATTCGGACTATTTAGACTGGTTCGGGTAGGTACCGCTGCGGAGTAGCCCAGTACCTGCGTGATTCGGCATAGACATAAACAGAGAGAAGTAGCTCCGGCTACAATGTTCTTCCGCAAGACGCACGGAGTTCTGTTTATTAACCGCTAGAGCGCCAAAAGTTACGGACTGCAGCTTTAAGAAATTAATTAATATTATAATAATGGCTATTTTAATACAAATTATTTTTAATAGTATTTTAATAATATTTTTAGGACAAAAAATCACTTTTTTTTTTTACCACAAAATTCAAAATCCAACTCTCTCTCTCTCACACACAAGCGCACACTCACAGTCAGGCTGAGGCAGCGCCCAAACTTGGTGCTCCTGAACTCTCCAAAAGTCTGCTTTACTGCACTGGTGGTGTAAAAACCTTCAGCCAAGAGCAACAATCCATAGAGGAAAAAGAAGGAGGCCAGACCGTAGATCACATACTGGAAATATTTTATACTGAAACACAAAATATAGAATAAATAACAAATGCAAACACAAACCACTGGTCTCATAAGACAAATTAGAACAAACTATGCTAAAGAACACTGATTAATGAAAAAAGCAATTCTGTGCTCACATTAAGCACTGTGTAAAGTCAATAACTCACAAGTCTGCCAGCACAATGAAATCCTGGACGTCCCTTGCGAAGTAGAGCTCTACGAATGTGCGTGTGTGAGTGAGCGCCTCATGCCCTCCCCCGCAGAAGAGTGCCACACCGGTGTAGCAGAGCAGGGTGGCCAGCAGGCTGGTGTAGGGCACGGCGCCCAGGCAGCGGATGCAGCAGTCATAGCAACCTATAGGTGAGTAATATATCAACACACCAACTGCACATGCAGCACACACAATACACACACACATTTATACACGCACGCGCACACACACACACACACACACTCTCTACTACTAATACACGAGTCTACTCATAATCAACAATAAAATCAAACAGATAACCTCTAAATGAGTATGCAAACTTAAAGCAAACAACTCTAATGTGCTTTTAAGAGTTAGTTGGCCTACAGTTAGTCAAGAACACACTCTAAAACAGATGCACACACATACTATGTGCTCTATGAGTAAATGTTTCTGAAACTCTCTCTCTCTCTCTCTCACACACACACACACACACACTTGTAAATAGTCAGTCAGTGTGTAATGGAGTCACAAATGAACAAGCCAAACGCAAAGTGAAAGCAAGCAATCACAAAGCCCTTTTTGAAATCTCGTACAACAAAAGTGATCCAAATGACAAAAAAGTAACCTAAAAGCAAAAAACTAAAATATGAGGAAGCAGAAGAGATGACTATGCACTATATGCACCAAAAGATTTAACAGGAAAAACAACTGCATCAATAAAAGGCTAAAAACTGTTTTGTTTTGTTTTTTTAAATGAAGCAACTTAACCAAAAGATGCCAAACAAACGATAAGCCCAAGAAGGCTCAACTATGGAGTTCTGCAGTCTCCAGCCTGTGAGAGAAGATGATGCATCTCAGGTCACCTAGCGCTTTACACAACCACGGCTGTTTCACTGGAAACATCAACACTGCTGAGTCGAACCCACACCAGGAGAGAACCGTGCAGATGCTTGTCCACTCACTCCAGGGAGATTTCTGTCCTCTGTTGCTGTGATGTCTAAATTGAGGGAGGTAATTTCTCTTTCTTTCGTCAGATACACTCCACTGTCCACCTCAAGGAAGAAAAAACGCATCGCTTAAGCTACTCCTCTCCCTCCCTTGCTTCTTTCTCTCCTTCTTTCCCTCCCTCACGCGCTCTCTCTCTCTCCTGAGTAGCCTGGTGTCAGGGTGAGATTTGGGGTGTGTGCGTGGGTTTTCATGTGTTTGAGGTTTTGTGGTCAGAAAAAGAAGCACTTGTGACAGTCATAATGGCTTTTGTTTTAACAACAAAAACGGTCATTGTGAACAAACAAAATACACACACACTCACAGGCCTCAGCAGTGGAGTACGTCATTGTGTTTCCACCCATAGCGGCACAGACAGACACATACTGACACCACTGGGGTTACGATTGGGATCATGGCAGGTCATCCAATCTTTTGCACTTTTTAAACTGATTTCTTCTCAACGTGTCAAAACACACACAATAATCTGATTACTATATGAAAAACACATTTTCATCACACCTTCTGTTTGAGAAAGTGGAAATGCTTTTGGGTCCATCCATTCATCCATTCTCCAAACCGTTTATTCTCTGTAGGGTCACAGGTGCTATGGTGTCTAAAACTTCAAATAAACTCTTTAAGTACTTTATCAAAAGGAGAGTTCACCAAAAAATAAACATTCTGTCATCCTTAACTCACACTCATGTTGTTCCAAATCTGTATGACCTTCTTTCATCGGTGGTAAAACACAAAAGAAGATACTCTGTACAGACAAAAAACACAAACATGTCGGCGCCAATGGCCTCGTGGGCAGCGTGCCGACATGTAGCGCCTTTGCGCTTCGGGCGTCCTGAGTTCAAGTCCTGGCTTGTGGACCTTTCCCAATCCCACCCCCCTCTCTCTCTCACCCACTTCACTTCCTGTTGACCTACTGTCCTATCTAAATGAAAGGCATAAAACGCCAAAAATAAATCTTAAAAAAAAAAAAACAGAAACATTTTTCAATGAAATTCAGTGCGGTCCAGCGTTGTTTGGACACCAGTGTCCCTTTGTGTTTTGCAGAAGAAAAAAAATATGTATACAGGTCTGAAACAGCATGAGGGTGGAAAATATCAGAATTGTCATTTTTGGGTGAACTGTACCAAGTTTTGAGCAGAAAACAGAAAATCACACATACGCTGTTCAAACAGTTCAAACAGAAGACGTGATTCTGCAGAAGGCTGATAAGCTCTTATGCAAAAAAAGAGAGAAACCTTTTAAACAATTCAATGCATACATACATATAAATCCTTCATGCAAATACATTAAATATTTTCCCACATTAGACTGGCACTGGCCCATACAGGAGTCCCCCGCAGAGAAGAGTATATATGACCTAAAGACCTGGTGTGACCTCTCTGTCTGGAGTCTCCTGAGGTTACTGGTCTTCTCATCCACACCTCTGTGGCATCGTAGCAACTGTCTTAGCCAATCAAAATCAGAGCCAGCTGGTTAATCAATCAAAACAACCTTTTTAATTAGTAAGGATCCATTAAATGTATCTCCATCATAAATGCAGGAGTGATGGTTCTAACCTTCGGACCAACCAGATGACATCTTACACACATCTTACAAAAAAAGAATCATTAAAATGCTTGTATACATTTGTCTATACAACTTATATCACATGCAAATCACAGACACACCAATTAATTAAAATTCTGCCCATAAATATGATTAAAATGATGGAATAATGAACATCATAGCAGTGGTTAAAATGGGTTCAGGTGAGTTCAGGTAAACTTACCCATGTGAGTATGTGTGTGCGTATCGCTCTCTGTCTCTCTGATGTGCCGTGTAGTTTAATCTCCCTTCGATGCTTTTATGATTCTCACTCAAGCTTTTGTCCCTGGAACAATAAACAAACCCCTCTGCTCCCTCTCACAAAAACACACACACACACACTGGGGCAGATCTTAAAGACGCAGTGCCCTCTTTCACAGCCATGATAAATAAAGAGTAAGTGTAAATGGGGACATTCCATTGACTTCCAGTGTTTCTACATAAATAAATACTTCAACTGTTAGACTCGTAGCATTTATAAATACTATGAAAACTACAAGTCTAAAAGTTCATTTTAATACCGTTTTTACAAATTAGGTTTTTGTCAGATTTACTGTAGCACACTTCTGGGTACAAATTTGTCCCCAAAACATAGTTAAATCGGTACACACACATTCTTGTACATCTATCTTTGTGAGGACATTTATTGACACAATGCAATCTCTAGCTCCTTACCCTAACCCTACCCCTCAGAACTAAGTGCCTAACCCAAACCCTTACTCTCTCACACACACACACACACACACACACTTTGTGAGGGCATTCACTGACACAATGCAATCCCTAGCCCCTTACCTTAACCATCACAACTAAGGGCCTAACCCATACCCTAACCTTAACTTTAACTAAATTATAATATTTACTTTAAAATCAAGTCTTAACCCTAAAACATCCCTTTAAAGGAGTACCAGAATGTGAGGACCGGCTAAAACCTCCTCACATTACTCTCTGGGTCCTCACTCCAATGGGTTAAAACTCAAACTGGTTCTCAATCTATCTCAAAGATAGTTGTACAAGTACACACACAGATTTTGAAGCAAAGTGAGTGAGTTGTGACCTTTAGAGTCAGACTGGAACAAGAGCACATTCAATACAATATTGTCTCAGAAATAGGAACACACAGACAATTCACTCTTTCTGTAACATACACACAAATTCTCTCACTCTTGCACACACGTAAACAATACTATTACATTGATGAACACAATAGGTCTAATGTGCGGTTTGAAATAAATATAATGTTTGCGTGCTTCATAAAAAGCATTTGTCAAACCCCTGTTCTTACACTGCAAATAAATAAAAAAAGAAAAAAAATGATAATATCTTTTCTGATATAAATATCTAAACATTCTTAAATCATGATATACTTGAGAAGCAAAATTACTTAGGTATTAAGTCTTGTTTTCTGAAATAAACAAGTTTTATTTCTCTTATCCCACTGGCAGATGTTTTACGTGTTTTGCTTCTTAAATATCTTGATTTAAGAATGTTTAGATATTGCTGTTTATCACTGAAAAACAAGACAAAAATACTAAGAAAATAATTTTTTGCTGTGTGATTTTTGTACATAAATACACACTGATGAAATTTACACATTGCCTTCATTGTATTAATGAGTAAATCTTACAGAGGTTTTTATATAGAGGTCATTGTTTTGCAGCTCTAAAGCTAACTCTCAGACAAAGCAAAACATTTGGCTGATTTCAAAGGGCGAACTGAAATGTTGGTTCAACCAACTGAAATGTTGGCTTTTGACCATTTTCAGGCCATTTTCAAAAATGTGGATTTGTGGACTTGGAATATGGCACACAGTTGTATGAAAAAACAGCAGCCCAAGGGTAGGAAGATAGGCTAATAGATTTTTAATTTTGTGTGAAATATCCCCATAAAAATATTTTGTTATAGACCTATTTAGCTTTTTCTTGTAGCCCTAAGATTTTTCTCAAGTTCAGCTCCCAGGAAACACAAACTGGCACGATAGAGGCCTATCTTGAATGCACTGTAAATATCTTAAATGCGACACTTTTTCATGAGATCACGCCAAAAACTTCAGTCTGCAGACTCCAAATCAATCTTGATAAACAAGAAGCGGGATTTTTAGGCAAACTCAATATTTACTGCAAATTTGAGGCAGAAATATACAGAGTATAAAAGAACAGACTCCTGCAAGCCGTTGTACTGACAGACCTGAGCAGCTGCACACAGGTCACCCTCATCCAGGAGAGACACACTGCTGTTGTCCGACTCCACGCATCCAGTTGCCATTGTCTTTTCTCTTCAAAGTCCAGATGAACTCAAATGGTTGTAAATACTGCAAATTATTTTTATAAAGCTGTTGAACTTTCACACAAACACGTTAACAGACAAACTTTCTGCTGGTTACCAAGGAAACTGTATCGCAAATTTGGCACAAAACTCATGGCAGGGTTGGTCAGCATGGGTAACATGGAGAATCTAACCATCTGGCAGGATCTGACACCATGACAACACGACTGTATCCCCTGTGCAAACTCTGTGCAGCTCCATGGTAAACACGATAATTTAGAACGACCTTCATCAGAGAAGCCCTGTGTTCAGTACAAATCACCACATTCATGTTTTATAGAAAAGATTAACATCGTAAATTCTCAGCAAAGCCTGTATGTCCTATCACAGCGTGAGTGATGAAATATCACAGCGTGAGTGATGTCATATCACTGATAAATACAGAACAAAAATTCAATGCTTTTCAATTTTCACTAAACATATCGAACAAACTCAGATACAATACAGATTTAAAATGATCGAAAAGCATTTTCACAAAATGATAACATTTAGCAAGACACAAATCTTGGGGTGGTATAAAATAGTATACAAAATGTAGTATCACCTTTTTGTGATTATAAATGAAGAAAAAAAGGTGTTGGATTCAAAATCAATCTGGGCTTCAAATGACCTTCTTTGCTATGGATATAATCTGAGTTTAAAAACGATTAGAAATATTTTTTTCTGACACATTCAAAAAAGCTGTCTGTACATTGACGTTAATATATGTTATACTGTACAATAGCCATTAATATGTTTGTTATTACAGGTTATTATTATTACATATCTTAGTAAGTGCTTGCTTGGTGCATAATGGTGAACCACTGATGGGACTCCAGCGCCCCCTACTGTTCTTGCGGATCAAGCACCTGCAGGGTTTTTAGAGTCTTGCAGCACCACTTAGAGGTGGCAGCGGTACTACAGCTCACCTTCAGTTAATCTGCTCATTTTGTCGATTTTATTCCACAGAGGTGCTTCTTAACTGCTCATATAATGTGAAAGTTGTCAAAGGTCAGATGTGAAGCAGTGCATTCATACTGAGCCAAACTGTTTGTTTTAGTGTGTTGCGGTGACACTTCCTTCTGGTTTATATTGTTCGTTCTGGTTTATACTGATGGCCGTACTGATTCATACTAGTGCCGTAAATCAGAGGTGATTGTGCTCATGTTATGTATTGGTTTCACCTGCTATTATCATTTTGAATACTGGTAAACAGTTTGCACTGGTTTGATCTGGTGTACAGTAATCACTCGTTGTGATTGTGTTGTAAAGATTTGTGGGATGTGAGTGTTTTGTGTCAGCGCATGGAGTGCCTGTTGCATGTTATACACGTGTTGTGGAGTGTGGGTGGGGCAGGCTGGTGG